CAACATAAAATGTTTCAATATTCCTATTCGGCCAATCTGATTGTTTTTCTACAAAACTGATACAACGTTCAAAAATCGTAGAAAACGTTTTGAAGGTTAAGATTTATTTTCAATACTATACAGTGTCGTAATCGGCAGTTAACGTGATTCCGCTATGTTTTTGACAGTGGTTCTTAATCTGTGTTTAATCAAACCCCAGGGGTTCGATGAGTCAGTCTCAGGGGTTCAGCGGAGGCCAAGACATACACCTGACTCATTTACGATCGAATTTTGCTAGTGTAGACCAAGGATCTATTAAGAAGGGGTTCGAAGAATGCGCACATGAAACTAGTGGGGTTCGTTACTTCTTAAAGGTTAAGAACCACTAATATACGCTGTTTTGGTAACATTAACATATACGGATACAACAAGCCACTAAGTTAAATGTAAAACAATATTATGAAGAGTCGAGCATTTCTCTCACCCATATGTTACCGTTAGACTCGCGGGTCGTATGATAGACTATTTCGTTGGTGTATGTCTATGTGGGTATATGTGTATCCGCTAGACTCGTGGTTCGTATGATAGACCATGTCTGTGATGTAACACTTTAACCACCGATAAAAAATGTAGTTTATGTACGCTAGACATCTATTCGATGTAAACAATCCATCACACGTAACGTAAACTTGAGTTCTTCACCTGCACTTTCAACATTTAGAGGTTACCTAACACCTGATGACCCCGCACTTTAGACTACATCATAAAGTAATTAGCCAAATCAATTAGCTATTCATTAACTTACCTGTTTAACTCTTGTTATGGAAATGATAAAGTGAACCACACCTAGTCAAATTTAGAGGCGTACCGAAACGTTACGGCGCCCGGGGAGAACAAGCAATTTTGCGGCCCCCCCCCCCCACCCCCCATTTATACGGTGTCACACATTCGATGTGGAAAATAAATCGGCATAGCCAGTTTGCAGTCTAATTTTTTATCCTCGATGGTGAATCATTCAGTAATGCTACTTAGAATGAGCTTTTAATACATTGCTCTACCAAGTTTGGCGCTCTTTTAGGGCCCCACCCGCCCTCCCCTCGCTACGCCTCTGGTCAAATCACCAGTGGCCAGCTTTTACATCCACCCCCCCCCCCCCCCACCAGGTGGTTAAGGCCCCGCTGTAGACTAATCTCTGGTAGGCACACAAAGTAACCATTGCCAAACCACCGCTGTGGTGCAACCACCACTGTGGTCAAACCATCTCAAGGCCCCGTTGTGACAAACGAAATGTGGTTAAAGCACACACATGCTGGGCATGTAAAAACGTCATGTTATTCTAAGTGACCATTCCAGCTATCGACTATTTTTTTTTTCCTTTTTTTTCTTTTTGCCCGACACATGTAATTTACAGCGTCAGTTGCCATGCATGTTCGCTTTATTATTACCATTTTCATCATGAGCTTATAAGGACTGATACAGTTTTTTCAACAGTGATACTTTATCTGACATTGAAGATGGTTTACTTATACATAATACAAAAGGTCATTGTTAATTTTATTATTAAACCTGAAAATGCAAATGTTTAATTAAACGGTGATTCGATGTTCTGCGGAGAGGAGGACAAACATTAAAATACCCAGAGGGATATTTTCTTTTTCGCTGGATAAAGGGGCATTGGCTTATAACCAGGGCTGAAATAATTTTTTTTTTTTCATGAATTAATGTTTTATTATTTTTTATAGAATATGTTCAAATATAACAGTTAATATCATTTGTATTAGAAATAAATTAACTTTTCTAGTGTATTACAATATGTGTTTAAATGGATAGCTTAACAATATTTACATTGATTCATTTACATTAACCTAGTTTGTTTAAAACATTATTTTTGTGTCCTAAAACTCAAATATCCATTTTAAAAAGTACAGTAACACAACAATATTACAAGCTTTTATTTAACTCACTTCCTCGTCATTCTGTCTGTCGTCAGTCTAGATAGAAACGCAGGAGTGAAAATTCGGACAGTTCTACTTGACCGATACGATTCACAGTTGGCACGTGGGTCAAGACATGAAGACAATGCAATCTGAAACTAAATTTGACTTAATTGGATGCCTAATTGATTTTTTATGAATTAATTAAAATTTGGACCGAATTAGTAGGCATGTCTAGCCAACCACACCATACGCGTCATCAATAGCTGCGCCATCACGACCACGTAATGGCTGCGTTCAAAAACCATTGCGCGCCTACTGAACGTGATATTCAGTAGGCGCGCAATGGTTTTTAGTCATGTAACTCTATTGTAGATAAAACATGTAAAGTACTGAAAAAAAAATTCATAAAAAACGTTTTAATAACAAGCTTTTATGTAATGATGCACTAAAAAGTAGAAAATAAATTATAGACTACTATTTAAATAACTATAAAGAAAAGCGTGGGTGTCTTCCTTAACATTAGTAAAGGTATCCAATAGATACTAAAGTGACCCACGCTTTTCTTTATAGTTATTTAAATAGTAGTCTATAATTTATTTTCTACTTTTTAGTGCATCATTACATAAAAGCTTGTTATTAAAACGTTTTTTATGAATTTTTTTTTAACAAATTTTCCCCCTTTAAAACATTTGCACATTATTTTAGGAGAACTTGGGTAAGCTCAAAAGAGCACCAAGTTGACAGGAGAGAGACAAGAGTTCCAGCATTAAACTAGTTTTGGCTTTGTTTCCAGAATCTTGACAAGAACAGTTAATTAGAGAACTCTTCATCTCATAATTTGGAATTCTTGAATAATTGTTCTCATAGTAGAATAAGTGGCTGCTGACTGCATGATTCTCTGTATGTGTATCTGTTGCTCTGATAACATTGCATGCATACTTTCTTGGAATGTTTGTAACTCTGAGTCTAGCTTTTTTCTACAGTATTCATCAAATTGACACAGTATAGGATTAAATCCATATTCCTCCAAGTCATCTAATGAAATTACAGTACTAGCATTATCAGGGGAAATGTTCTCAAGTGATAGAACACCCTGACTTGTCTGTGTTCCTTCCAGCTCAACCTGATAGCAATCAGGGAGATAACCCTCTTCACTCCCACCATATTCTATATCACTGTAGGCACTGGTCATACTCTCTGAGGTTACATCTTCGGTGCGCGGACCTTTGACCACAGGTGCTTTGACCATAGGGGGTTTGACCACATGTGTTTTCTCAGCAGATGGTCTTTGATCACAGGTGGTCTATCAAGTGGTCAAACCCCTTATGGCCAAAGCCCCTATGGTCAAAGCTCCGCTGTGGTCAAACCCCCTATGGTCAAACCCCCTATGGTCAAAGCACCTGTGGTCAAAGGTCCTAGGACCACATCTTCAGGTGTTAGAATCTCATTGCTGACACAGCTGACAACCAAATCTGTCTTACTTGATTGATTTTGTGTAGGTGGTAGCATGACATCAAACTTCTGAATGGAATTTAATCTAAAATATATAAATGATGGTTTTGGAAAAACAAACAGACAATTTCAGTTTACCAAAAGCTTTTTTAGTTTAGCACAGGGGTCGGCAACCTGCGGCTCGCGAGCCGCATGCGGCTCTTTAGCTGCCAAGATGCGGCTCTCCTGCTCCTTGAACAAATACTAATAATCTTAATAAAAAAATAAAATATTTGTAATAAAAAAAATGTTAGTGGCTCTTTAAAACTAGGTAAATTTTGAAAATTGTAACTTTTGGCTCTTCCGCTTCAAAAGGTTGCCGACCCCTGGTTTAGCACCTTGAGTCCACAGTATGTCTCTGAATCTACATGGCTGACCATACAAGTATTTATGATCTAGCCTAAGGTCTTGAATAGGCTATTTAATTGGTCTCTTCCATCAAATTATGATCAACAATATCAACTAGGTCTACAACTACAACACCAACACAGCTGTTTGTTTTTTTTTTTTTTTTTTTTTTTTTTTTTTTTATTTATGCTTTTTTTTTTAACAGTTTTTTTTTTTAATTTTTTTTTTTTTTTTTAACTATTTAAATGCCCTTTATTTTACAAAATTCTACATCATCTGATTGATAGACAGGCTCTTGAAATACATCATTTTGACCAAAAGATTCTGGTGTAGAAAATATGTGGATTGCTGTATCATTGAACACATCAGTATGCTGAAATGTCTCTGGAAGTTTTACCTCCCTTGTGTAGGGCTGAAGCAATAAAATATAGTTTCCAGTTTCTTTGAGATTATTTAAGGGAGATCTTTCAACCATATGTGAAAAGCTGTTTCCTATCAATATCAAATTATGGAGTGTATTTTCTCTGGCTACAAGATTCTTCCATAACAGGTTGTTGTACATGGCTTTTCCACAGTGAGGTAAAAAAGCTACAGTTGGTACAAGACATTCCCTTTTGGCTTCCTCATTGTGCATTATAACTTCACATTGGTAGTACTTCAGGATATCTTTTTCTTCCTCTGTGAAAACTGGATCATACACTGAACACATAGTACATGTTGCTCCAATTTTTTTCCTTTAGACATAACAAAAAGGCCAATTGGTATCTTGCAATCAAACATGTTGTAAAGTTGCCAAGCCCATAGCAAAGTAAATGAACTTGAGATGGTGTCTGTAATGCTGTAGACACTTGTTTTTCTTCTGTTACAGAGACATCTTCCAATGATAAAAACTTGAGTGCAGTGCCAACATCTTGTGCCAACCTGGGTTTTGGATCAGACTTATCCACCGGTTTACCAAGATCATGTCTGTGGTTGGACTTAATGGTTGAAAGAGCATTGTTAATGAGATCAAATGAAGCTTTAAAGAATAAAGACAGATTTAAGTCATGTATGCAAATATTTATACGTTTTTTTGTAATTTGTAATTTCGGAAAGGCTGTTGTTATTTCGTGCTTCGGTATTCCTTTCTGCTATGTTTTGTTTTCCAAACTTCTTTTTTTTCCTAGACACAATTTTAAATTCATTAGTTTCATTCATTTTAAAACGATTTTTTTATTTTTTTTTTAATTTTTTTTTATCTATTAAACATTTTTTTTATTGTCTGGTTTAATAAAATTAAGTTCAAAACCTGCATGTTGTACAAAACTTCACTCACACAAAAACCACTAAACTCTTTTTCAGACTGACCAATCATATTTTCTTTTCAATATGTTTATGTCCCTATTTATGCTTCTAATGCTATTCAGATGCACTTTTTAAAATTAATCCATTGTTTGAAATTTAACACAATCCGTCACATTTTACAATCCCAAGCTTTTTAAATTTTTTTTATTAAATTGAAAGTTCCTTTCAAATCAAATATGTCAAATTTTGTTAAATAAAACAGATGAAAAAGGCTTTAACATCAAAGTTTATACTATCATTTCAAGTTCTCTGGCATATTCAATGGTTTGTGTAGCTAATATTTTGGCAGGGATGGTGTGATCAGCATCCTTAGCTTCATGAATAAAGTGAAAAAAAGTCTTTCTCTAATCTCCATTTTCTCTGAGTAGCATATTCCTTCATTGGTTTTTGGGCTTCAAAGAAAAGCATTCTGGCAGCTTCATTAAGACCAATACGGTTGTATGCTTTTTCTATGCACCCTGCTATTTCATCTCTGATTGTGTTCAGTAAAATATCAATGAAGAAGTTATAGTTGTCTGCTGGAACATTTCCTCTGGCTAGAAAAACCTTATTGTAACTTCCCTCCATTAAATACTGTTCCATGCTTACTGGATGTTTGATATAAATGTTATTCTGAATCTCCTTTACAGGTAACCGTTCCAGTTCAGTGTGAAATTCTGCTAATCGATTTTGAGAAAGTAGACACAAAAGGTTCAGTCCTAAAAGCTGGTATTTGAATGCAGACTCTGGAAGGTCATCCTTGTAATCCATATAATAGCATTTTAATTGGGCCATGTATCTTTCAAATGCTGGAATATCCTTTTTAGCAATAGCCCATTGTGCTCCAATTTCAAGTATATCTCGAGCAATTAGCAATTCTTGCTTAGTCACTGACGCCTCTGTTGTTGGTAGAAATGCAACTTGGGTGAGTGACAACTTGAGTCTGGAAAGAAGTTCTCCAGACTTTTCTAAATTTTGTGGCTTACTATCCCATATACGTTTTAAATTTTGATACAACGCAACAATTTCTTTCATCGTAGCGGTAGCCATTTTTGTTTACTGTTCTGTGTGGGATAAATGAATACTGATGACAAATTCCGAATGCTTTCACCCGCATGATTTTTGTACTATATAAATCGCTATTTTAAGAAACAAACTGGGTGCTTCAAATAAAATACGAAATTAAAAAATAAAACTAAAGTTTAATTAGACATAAATTAATAGTTTTGTCTGATAAAATATTACGTACATTATAAAACATATTAAGAAAAGGACTATCAATGTTTAACTAAGTTTCTTCATCAGCAAAAACTGAAGACATCATACCCTAAAACCGACATGAATACTCAAATATAAAAAAAAAAATTATATTCAAGACAGGAATCTATAATAATAGTTTCGCTGTCTCTCTATCTATCTATCTATCTATCTATCTATCTATCTATCTGTCTGACAAGAACGCTCTAGAGAAAAGACAAGCAATTTAAAAACATGCACAGTAATTCGAAAAACGAAGTATGACGTCGACACATTTAGCACAGAGTAGAAAATAATCTCAAACCCAGAGAGTGCTCACAGTTATATGACGTCATTGATTTTCGCGTTAACATTGAATAAAAAGGAAATGTTGTCTAATCTTAATGGTTTGCGTGAAGAGTTTCTTGCATACAATTCTTCGGGTAGGGGCGAAGCCCCACCCCCCGCGTAAGAACGTCTGAGCCCCCCCCCCTCCCCAACTCAAAAGAAATTTCTTCATCGATACTCTATAATAAAATTACCGCCTAATTAATGTGTCTAATCTAAAAAGTGGTTTTCTTGCAATTTCTTTAATGCAATTCTTCGGGTAGTGGCTAAGCGCGACACCAGTGTTTCTTTCAGACTTTTTCCTCCCCGGAGAGGGGTGGGGGTAATTGAAATTTTCGAGGGCGGGGTTAGAATTTTCGGGGAGGGGGGGCGGACACTGGAAAAAGTATATAATTATATTTCGTTGAATGGGACAGTAGACGTGTTTTTTTTTGGGAGTGGGGGGGGGGGGGGGTGGGGAGTGGGGGTGGGGGGGGTGGGGGGGGAGGTGTGAGTGGGGGGTGGGTGGGGCGGTGGTTTCCTCATCGATACTCTATAATAAAATTACCGCCTAATTAATGTGTCTAATCTAAAAAGTGGTTTTCTCGCAATTTCTTTAATGCAATTCTTCGCGTAGTGGCTAAGCGCGACACCAGTGTTTCTTTCAGACTTTTTCCTCCTCGGAGAGCGGTGGGGGTACTTGAAATTTTCGGGGGCGGGGGTAAAATTTTCGGGGAGGGGGCGGATACTGGAAAAAGTATATAATTATATTTCGTTGAATGGGACGGTAGACATGTGGGGTGGGGGTGGGGTGGGGGTGGGTGGCGGTGGGTGGGGTGGGGGGGGGGGGCTGGTGTGTGGGGTGGGTGTGGGGTGGGGGGTGGGGGGGGGTGGTGTGTGTGTGTGGGGGGGGTGGGTTGGTTTTAGTTTAGAGAAAAGAGACAGCACTATCAACCTAGCGCCCGGTGTATCCTTCCTCAACGGGCCATTTTTCTCGTTATAAAAAGATTTCTGCATTTTTAAAATAATCTTTGCAAAAAGTTCTAGATTAATTATGTTTACGTTTTACTTGAATACTAAAACAATAAAATGAATGGTATGACAAATATCTCCCTGCTGGTCAGCTAAAGCTTATATGGACATGACATTTGAAAAAAAAACTCTAGTTAAATATTCAGTAAACTATCTTTTTAAAAATTACTTAACGGAATTAAGTTTCTTAACCAGCGTGTGCATTTAATATGGTGTTTTGTTAACTAATAATGTATATACTTTGGTTTTATTTTTTTAATAGGTATTGGTAGCATATGTTATTTTCAGTGGCATCGCTAGGTTGGGTGTCACATGGAATGGCATCTCATGGTGTCACCCCACCCCTTAATTTTGTCTATACATTTTGTAGTTGGCGTCTCCCTCCCCCCCCCCCCCCCCCGCTAAAAGCTTTAGAGTGTTCACATTTAATACTAATGATGTTTATCTACAGTCGTCTGTTAGTACAGCTTGGTGTTGCATTGTATTCTCTATAGTTTGCATGTTTACGTCATGGTGTAACCGCCCCCCCCCCCTCCATGGTCGGGATCGTGATTATATACTTAAAATACTTTTAACTCTAATTAACCATTCATTGAACTGGCAAAAAAATATATTTATTCCATAAATCTTGCAATTTTTTTTGTCTTGGTGTCACCTCCATAAATGGTGTCACCCAGTGCGGTCCGCAACCCCCCGCCTCCGCCTTGCGACGCCTCTGGTTATTTTGAAGGTGTCGGATTTTTAGCTATTTAATTATTTCTTTGCTTCGTCACTAATATCGTTCAGCGTGTAGTAAAGCACATTGCGTTTTGACCAATAACTATTTTATAAATTATTTCTCCAAAGGAGTTTAACATTAAAAATATATAGGCTTATAATTCACGTGAAACGGGTGGGGTAACCCGGGGTATTCCATACCCAACTTTTATTTATATTTATAAAAAAAATCATGTATAAGCACTAATTCATTACTTTATAAGGTGATTACTTGCACACGATATATTTTGATGATATTAATAGAATACATAGAGAATTCTCAAAACAAAAACAGTTTTTTGATGTTTATTTTTTTACGAAAAAAAAACGAAGGTGGAGCAATATTTGCTTTAAAACACTATCAGTAGGTCGTTAAGGACTATACCCCCCACCCTCCTTTCCCCCAAACCCTACCCCCCTTCCCTTGAAAGCAGCCTCCTCTTAAATACCTCCCTAAAGTTTAAAATCGTTTCAAACTAAATTATTTACCCCTAATAGTCGTTACTATCCCGGCTCTACTATTGTAAACATTTAGCGTGAACCAGACAATGTGTGGGTGGGGGTGGTAGGGATATGCCTAGAGAGGAAGAGAGGGGGCTGCTAGGCGCGCTTACAGCTTGGTGTTTTCTATGGTCTCCATGAAGAGAATTATATATATATATATATATATATATATATATATATATATATATATATATATATATATATATATATATAGATCTTCCCCTAATAACCGTCACAAATCCTACCCGTTTTCTACTATTGTAAACATTCGCCGTGAACCATAGCTCACCAGACAGGTGGGGGTAGTGGTGGTGGCGATATGCCCACAGAGCGGGGGAGTGACGGTGTGCGTTTACGTGATGTCTCGCATGGTCCCCATGAAGAGAATTATATATATATATATATATATATATGTATATAAATGCTTTAATCGTAGAAGAATTCCTTTCAAATCGAAACAGAAATCCCCGAAAATGACCTCTTATAAATAGGAAATGATTTACATTTGTGTAAATTGATTCACTTAAAAAAAAGACAATTCAGTGTGTGGGGACGGAGTGGTGAGTAGACCATCACTGAGTCCACTCAACTCTGATGTGCAAGGGTGGCTTGGCATAGTGCTGACCTCACTATCTCTTCATATGCCGAGGTCATATCTACTTCACTTGCCCTATAGACCGTCAGGTTTGAAAGGGGAACTTAACTTTTTCCATTACCCCGATTTACCCTACTCGTATCTAATTATGGATTCCAACGTTAATTGGACCATATGCAAGCGACACTTACATGATTTTTGAATATTTCAGAAACACTGAGAAATAAACAGCATGCGCACATTTTAAATCCAGAATATTAACCTTAGCGGAGTTCAGAATTGTTTTTATAATATAGAAATGACGTTCTCAAAACGCGTTTTACATTTCTGATATTCTCAAATTTAAATTTAAACTTTGAGAAAAACGTAAGTTTTGTGTTTAAGTAAAATAAAACTCTTTATTTATGCACCTTTTATGACCAAACAAAATACACAATTGTCCATGCTTATGTAAACATTCTACTTCTTCAATAGTTGTAATTTTGTTTGGGTTATTTACCTTGTTAAGTGTGCACAAATAAATGGGAGATAATTAAAAATGTACAATTTCACCTTACCTTAACCTATTGTTTCCTTAAAAACTTTACGATGCATGATCAAAATATACTTTGTTACCAACGTACAACAACTGTTTCTTGTTTTTGTTTATATAGGCTTTTACATATTTATATTCCCGACTACTAAAGTTTGAACTGTACATATGGAACACATATTGAAGACCTGCCATTCCATAAAATAAATAATCTTTAGCTCTTTTTTTTTAACGTTTCTCGACTATAAATTGGGCGCGTTGACAAAAAGTGTTTAGTGGTTAGAAAAAGAACATCATAATTAATTGTATTCAGATGTATTAATTAGCATGTCATAAGACTTTACCATAACAGAAACTAGATGTAAATGTATAAGCGGAAACAAGCTTGTCTATTTATAGATACGTGTTTTTATCCATCTGCTTACACCTTATCTAATTAGAATAAAATAAAATGCCATCAAAACAGTGTGACAGACCATCGCTTATATTTATAGATACGTGTTTTTATCTATCTGCTCATACCATATTTAATTGGAATAAAATAAAATGCCATCAAAACAGTGTGGCTGACCATCGCTTATATTAGTATAAGTGATCAGGTGGAAATGGACAGAAATAAAAATATATTTTATAAATGTTTATGACTACCACTATCAAAACATTTTATAGTTCATACCAAGTTTGTGTACATCTAACGGATTGTTTAGTTTTCACAAAGACTAACATCAAGCTGTTTCTGTTTCACATAGACTTTAACATGTGCTAATATACTAATTAGGTAATTAGTTGTTATAGTAGTTACTGACGGTGTTTAATAGGGTGTAGGTATGTGTGTGTGTTTGTTTACATGAGCAGAGGCGTAGCGAGGGCGGGGCATGGGGAGCGGACCGCACCGGGTGACACCATTTAGGGGAGGGGGGGGGGGGGGTGACACCAAGGCAAAAAATTGCAAAATGTACAGAAGAAAAATGCTTTTTACCAGTTCCATTAATAATCAATTTAAGTTAAATAGTCTTTTTAGTACAAATCGATAATTATTACAAGATGGTTGGCAACATGACGCAAGGCACCATGACGTA